ATTGTAAAAACCCTTGTCACCAAACAGCCAATTTCCACATTTCATCAGTTGTCTCTTACTTTGTTCAAAGTCAGCCTATCAATTGTGTGTGATGGGGCGTGTGTGTGTGTGTGTGTGTGTGCGCGCGTGTCCTTTCCACTCCTCTGCTCTGCATTGGGGTAGGCTCACACAGGCCACAGCCTTCCAGCCTGGACTTTGCAACACAATGCCTTGCGGTACCATCCCTCTTTGTCCTCCGCACTTCTGGTAGAGACCCGGGCATGCGTGGAGGCCTGAGGGGATCACCTCTGCCTGGCAGAGGGCGCAACACCTGACGCGTGCTCCTTGGGAGGCTGGGAGCCCTGCGGGGAGCACTGCCGGGTGTTTCATTTACGACTTGTTCGCTAGAGTATGTCCTTAAAAGTATATCCAAGGGCCAGCACGTAGCTCAGCAGTACAGCACACGTCAGGCTAGCACAAGGTCCAGGGCTCAGTTCCCTTTCATGAGCAGTATGTCCCACAGTAACTATGAATTAATAAAGCCTGTACAAATGGGCCTCAATCTGTTGCAAAGATATTTTGCTGAAGCTGAAGTTATCTGGAGTGCTTCCTCCAGTGTTGATAAACCTCTCGTGATAATTTCCTGGGTTCTCCTTGTGCATCTTCTCCTCCACCCGGAATTAACCACTCAGCAAGCATCTGATTACTTTTACAAAAATGGCATTCACAGTGGGGAGGGAGCACATGACGACGGCTGAGGCAGGAGGGTCGCTCTGCGTTGGGGGCCAGCCTGGGCTACGTGTGAGCTTAAGCCAGCCTGAGCTATACAGTGAGGCCTGATTTTAAAAAATTATATTTAGAGACCACAACTAGGGCACTAAATCTGAACTCGATTTGAATTCCAAAGCTAACAAAGTAAATTAAGCAGAAGCCTCCACGATTAGTGCTCATGTACTTGTGGGGCTATACAGAAATAAATTTTTAAACCTGGGGTTCTCCTTTAAAAAAAAAAAAAAAGTATTCTAATACATAAATGGTAAAAGCATTATAATTTTATCAATGACTGTTAAGAAACCTTCAACTCCAAAATTCCACTTAGAAATTTATCTTAGGTGAGGCTTACTGTTTGATGCCAAGCACCAAACGCAGGGCTCCCAGCATGCCAGGCAGACCTGCCGCTGAGCTGAATCCTCAGCCCCTAGAAACTTGCCTATTAGGGTTAGGGTTTGCACACAGAATTGTTTCAAGTAATGACCCACTTACAACCTTAACACTCAAGGGGAAGGAGTGGTTAACGTGTAAAATATACAACACTGACAGGCGATGCTTAACTCGTTAACATAACGCGGCCATAGCATCACTTGACTGTCAAACAGAAATGCTACATTATAAAAGGGTGTATGTTAGCCATGTGCGTGAGGATGTCTCAAAGACCAGTCCCCAAATCCCTTTTTTCTCTTTTGGCACCAGGGATCAAACTCAGGACCGTGCACTTACCAGGCAGGCAGGTAAGCTTCTTGCCTACATCCCCAGCTAGTCCCCAGATTCTAACAGCACGAACTACGTCATCCCGTTCCCACTGCCGGCTTGTGGTTCGGCTTCTGTGGTCAAACCAGATATACCAGGCTCCTTCGTCCACTGCCCAGTTTCCAAAACTTCTGCTCTCAGTATCTTCCCTTTGACTCCACCTTGTCACTGTGAGGCAATCTGATAGTTTACATGGACTTCAGGGAAGAGCAGAACTACTGAAGCTACTCACCTTCTAACTTTACCCACCATCCTGTTGCTTTTGTGGGTGTAATGGAGGCCAACTGGTGGCCAACTTGCTCCACCCGGCTGAACAGAACCACGAGGTTCTGGGTGTGGCAGGCCCACCCAACGACTGCTGCCTGCGGCGTAGGAGGCAGAACCGGAGGAGAGCTGGAGAGGCCATTAGGGAAGCTGTAGAGCTGTTGGAAGCGCTGGTCGTCTTGGGCTGTTCTACTGGAGGACATCACCATGCTGGCTTTCTTGATGAACCTAGCTGTTTCATTGGAAGAGCTCAAGACGTTGTTGTGGAGGATGGCTGCGGGCTGCGGCTCACCTTGGGGAGCTCTGGTCCTTACCTTGAGCATCTCTCCCTAACTCCGGAGGGGAAGATGGTGCACTGCTCTGCCTCATGGAGAAGTCTGTCTTTCCTGATGGGAACTCAGCTATCCTCATCATTGGAGGAGCTCAGGACCTCTCTGTCGCTGAGGATGGCTGTGCTACTTTCCAGGAGTGCGGTTTCTTACCTTGAGTGTCGCTTCCTGGCTCCAGGGCAGATCCCTAAGCCCACTTGCACAGATCCTTCATCCTGCTGGCACAGACTTTCAGCTTCCACCACTGACGTTTGTACCTCCCAGAGCTGGTCCATGAAACAGGCCTGTATGAGACAGTGTCATGGGCAGGCATCGCTGCGAGCTCTAGGTCTTCTGCTGAACTTGGAGAACATTAGGATTCGGGCCCTCTACTGGATTCTTTGGTCTTTAAGTGTGTAGATAGATTCCCTGCATTCATTGTGTAGGACTCTTTGGGAGATTCATTACAAAATAATCTTATAAAACGTGTTCTGGATTGTACCATTCACCTTGCAAGAACCTCAAACCACGACAAAAAGAGACACTGTGAAAAGCTTATCAATTAAAAAATGCACCGATTTCTATGTGATTTATACATATGAATATATGTGCAAGACACAATAACCCAAAGAGATTGCTATGCATGCTAACAATATAAAGAACTGGATCCAGAAACAGTAGCCCAAAAATGGAATTGGTTATAAATCGGAAAAGTGAATCAAACGGAAGCTGGTGCTGAGTCTTGGTTGGTAGATTGGGTGGGCAGGTGGTTGTGTGCCTGATTCATTGGATGGGTGGGTGGGTGAGCAGGTGATTGGGTGAGTGAATGGGTAAGTGGGTGGGTGGGCAAGCAGGTGACTGGGTGAGTGGGTGACTAGGTGAACGACTAGGTGACTGGGTAAGCGGGTGACTGGGTGATTGGGTGGGTGGTGAGCAGGTGATTGGGTGTGTGGATGAGCAAGTGATTGGATGAGTGGATGAGCGGGTGATTAGGTGAGTGAATGGGTAACTGGGTGGGTAAGTGGGTGAGTGGGTGACTGGGTGATTGGGTGGGTGGGTGAGCCGGTGACTGGGTGGGTGGGTGAGGGGTTGATTGGGTGATTGGGTGGGTAGGTGAGCAGGTGACTGGGTGTGTGGGTGAGTAAATGAGTGGGTAACTGGATGTGTGGGTGAGCAGGTGATTGGGTGGGTGGGTGAGCGGGTGATTGGGCGAGTGAATGGGTAACTGGGTGACTGGGTGAGCCGCTGACTGGGTGGGTGGAACACAGCCTTGCTATGTTACCCAAGCTGATCTCGACGCCTAGGCTCAAGAGATACTCCCACCTCAGCCTGAGTAGCTAGGACTACAAGCAAGCCACTGCATTGCCTGGCCTGGAAGTTGTTTTTAATCAAGAATGTAATTGCTGAAAACAAAGCTACCCTGTGTGGAGTAATCGTTTTATTTTCTTAAACATTTTTTTCCTAAAATTTCTTTCAATTTCTGTGATTTCTCTAAATATGAACTGTCCCAGCAGCAGCTCTGAAACGACACCGCCTTGCTCCCTCCCTCGTTCCCAAGACGCTGAGCCTTTAAGGACAGACAGCAGCTCTCCCTGGTTCCTGTGAGCTGGGCTGTCTAGGTTACACGGCACCTGCTACACAGCTGCCCCAACACCTTCGGTGAGAAATTCTGAATGAGAAATCACAGGCCTTTGCAAGCACACCCCGCCCAGCATCTCAGCTGGCAGGGACATCCAGCCCAACTCTGGAGAAAGAATAATGACCACAGACTGTGGCAAGAGCGACAGGCTGAAAGCAGCTCACTGCACTCGGACAAGCCTCAGTTTTCATCAGTCCGTGACTGTGACAAAAATGAAAAACCCGGAGCAGAGTGTGGCAGACACCTCAAAAACAAGACCGAACATACAAATTTCTCTTGCTTAAATATATCCTACCGCAAACTGCATGACACTGCCCGGAACCACAGAGAATAATGAGTCTAAATACCGTTTCTTTGGTTTGCAGTGCTGAGCATTAAGCCCAGGGCCGTTGAGCCAAGCTACATGCCCAGCCCTTTTTATTTACTCATCCGTTTATTTTCAGACAAGGGCAAGTTGTCGGGCTTGGACTGGAACTTGCAACCCTCCTACTTCAGCCTCCCCGAGTGCCGGCACTCAGCACGGCCGGCCACCACACCAACCTCCACACCCAGCTTTCTAATGGGTACCTGAGTTTTGCAAAGTGCCCCCAAATAAAATTTCAAACAATTTAAGCAATTATAAATAAAAATAACAAACTGTATTTGAATTAATGAAAATTATGGCTTCATGGCTAAGCCTGGTTATTTATTCTGATGGTCCCAGACTAACATAGTATCAGTAGGCACACTGCATTTTTACCTATTCAGCAGTCATTACTCAGTCATAATAGTTCCAATTTAAGAAAAGGCAGAGAAGCCGCGGCAGGTGCTCTCCAGGCTCGCCGCTCCTTCCGGGTAACATGACCATGCAACTCTCCATTTGGGACGAACTGACAGAAGAGGAAGCTGTCGGCTCTAAATTTTAAAACATGCTTGTCATTAAACTAGAAACTCAAAACAAACGGGGTACTTAGAATCCAAACCTTTGAAAAATACATATAAAAAAACCCCACAAGCTTCCAATATGATTCAGCTCTTCCTCTAAGACAATAAATATTGATTAGAAATAGTGAAAAGCATGACATTGAGTGTTTTTTAAAAACCTGTACTGTGTGCATACAAAGACTGCTATCTAGGAATTTCCTTTACACACGCCGAGCTAAAATAAAGCCAAGGACGCCTGCGTTGGAGGAGCTGCCTTCCCTCTTTCAGCCTAATTCTATTTTACTTAGCAAAGAAAAGCTGCCTTGTGGAGAGAAGCTTCTGCTCATTCTCAGAGTTCAAAGAGCACAGAACTTTCAAGGTGTTTTCAAGTCTATTTATTAATGCATTTCAAGTTTCAAAAAACCTTACATCTTTGCACAATACTTTATTTTTTGCAATTTTTAGTAAAAATTTCCAAAGTGAACAAAAAAAGATACTGTATAAAACACAGTGGACATTAAATCGACAGTAGTATTAGATCTCATTTGTCTTGATCTTTTCATTTTTACCACATCTTGATTTGCAGTGGAAAGAGTTCAGTGCACGTATCTTTTCAGAAAACATTTAACTTAAGACTCCAAATAAAATAAGGCAGTGTACCCCTGCCACAACCCTACCACAGGATAACAATACAAGCAAAAAAATGTACATGTTCCAAAGTCTACCACGTTCGAGAAGTTACTAAGAACTCTTGCAGAATAAAAGTCACCACTGTAGAAAGGCAAACCCACTTCCAACCTTTGCACAGTCCAAAAACAAAGGCATTGAAATGATTTAAAAGCAGTTTCTTACATTTCTACCTACTTGTTTGTTTAGAATTATTATCGTCTATCTGGGGATTCATGTACAAAATTTGTCTCTAAATCATGTACAAAAAGCTGTGTTTTGAAAAAGTCACCACATACTGTACAAGTTTACAGGAAGAGATCCCATTGTTTTCTCTAGCATTTTTGGCCTTGCTGGCTTGCGTCACATTATGAGAATGATTGTGTAAACCTTATACTCTTAAGAAAAAAGAAAAAAATCCAAAACACAGAAATCATTTCAACTTCCCCTAAATTTGCCTCCTATGCGAAGCCAGGAAAATCATACTGTTTACTTCTAATTTAAGCAATGTAGCTGGGAAACAGAAGCAATAAATACATCACAAGCTTGAACTGTTTTGTAATGCCCCTTCCACTTCCTGCATAGCAATAAGCCTGTTAATATTTTGCTTTCTCTTTCTTTAAAAAAGCCAATTATTTACATCTGCTTAAAAAATAAACTTGGAATGGGACATTGTGCTGTTTCACCTTCATTGTAGTTACAATAATTAAGGGAAAAACATGGCAGACGCCTATCTACAACTTGAACTACGAGCTGAGCACGTTACTCACTCTTAGTGGTTACCGATGATCAGTGATGGTATGCTAAAACCTGCTGAAACCCTGACAAAGACACAGCTTTCCTTTTCCGTTATCAGACAAAAACATACTTAGTATTATTTTAGACATATGGAAAACACAAGTGAGCTACAAATAAAAAGAATCATCTCATAGACATAATTCCTACCAGAACATAAGTAAAATCTCAACTATCAATTCAAAGAATGGAATTGGATCAGAAAGCTTAAACCACAGAAGCAGAAATCCGATGTTTCCAGAGAGCCGGCAGGAGGGCACTGCCCTGCCACCTGCATGACGCGTGGCTGTGGCCCTCAGCGCCGTCCTGCGCGCACACACAGCAAAAACTGGATAAAGGAAAATGACCTAAGAACTGACTGTCGTTAGAAAAAGGTACATTGATTCTCATCTCAAAACTGCCTGTATAAAGCATTACAGAATCCTGGACCACTGAATACCACCATTCTCTGTTATCCTGAGTATATGTCAATTAATCAGTAATTTTTCATTAAGAGCGGAGAAATTTTATAATACAAAGAAACATCCATATTGCATTTCCTGGTTACCATTGCACACAGAGGTACAGTGCACGTAATAAATACATGTCTGCACAGAGCAAGGGATGCACACTGGCAGGCGGTGTCTCCAATGTTGAGTGGCCGAGCCTCCACGCCTTGACTGGCAGTTGAAAAAAATATATATATTTCAATTTTGATAGAAGTTTATCCAGAGCCAAGTTTGACTGCAAGTGAAGAAAATGCAGCAATGAAGAACAGGGAGCACAGGGCACATGATAGTATTCTCAGACTTGTGCCATTAGGATAAAAATAGCTGTCCATAAGAAAACTGGGTTCCTTTTCCACCCCACCCCCCAAAACTGGAGCTTTCAGGCTTTCGAACTTAAGTAATTCCACCAGGTCTGAGGACAAGATCTCTTGCCATTTTTGTCTTCAACTACTATTTGTGAGGGCTTAATCTGGAGATGGTGACTGAACAGGTTTCTCTTTGGAGTGAAGTTTCCCACTGTAGGCACTAGAAGAACCAAGGCAAAGCCGCAGTCAGCGTCTCATGTGTCCCATCTGATAGCTCTCCCGCGGCCGCTGGCGCTGCGGCTGCTGAATGGGCTGGGGCGGTCTCCTCCTCTTTAAAGTGCCTGCCATCAAAAACAGAAGCGAACCGGTCATGCCAGCGTCCTTCTGGTGCTGCCCAGAGACCGGACTCCAGGCCTTCCTCCTGAGCTGGCCACAGCTCCAGCCACTTGTGCATTTTATTCTAAGGCAGGGACTCCCTTGCCTGCTAAATGCCCAGGCTGGGCTCATGCTCGCAATCTGCCTGCCTGGGCCTCCCAGAGGCCTGGCTTACAGCCATATGCCACCGTGCCCTGGCCACTGTGAACTCTGTAATCTTTAAAAGCAAAGCTGCTCTTTCAAAAAGAAAGATTACAGATCAGCAATGTCCAAAACAGACACAGATCTTGAAATTTTCTGGTAACTGCCAGGTGTGGTGGGGCTCACCTGTACTTCCAGTACTTAGGAGGCTGAGCAGGAGATCACCTGATATGTCTGAGGCCAGCCAGGGTTACACAGTGAGTTCAAGAACAGCCTGAACTACACAGTGAGACCCTATATCCAAAAATAAAGTTCTGGAAATCATAAAAAATATAAAAGAAACAGGTGAAATACCTTTCGTGTTTATTTCATTTAACCCAACAGAGTCAAAATATTACCAATGTTAATGTGTGCTCAATATTAAAGTCACTACTGAAATACTTCACTTTCTATAACAAGTTTTCAAAGCTTGGCACCCCTTTATATTAACGACACACGTCAGCTGAGACCAGCTGCATGGCAGCCTCAGACTGGAACAGGTAAGTCTAGGTAAGCATCAGCGAGTCCAAGTTCAGAACCCGTGATGTGGAACCGCAGTACCGGCCTGTGCGCCGGCCGCAGCACGGCTGCAACTAGACGCGCTGGGCTGCTGCGGACGGAGATGGGAATTCCCATAGAAGGGTCAGCTCTTCCGTATGGGTTCAACAAATGACAGCTAGCTTTTAAAGTGCTATCTCTTTAAAATGAAATCAACACCCAAGTATCTTTCTCACTAATGGAGACCACAATGGGTCAAGGTATCTAAAAGGCTCCTATGGCCCTTACATATCCCTTTAATGCAGCCTAAGTTTCAGAGCTGTGAGCTTGAGAAAAGCGGTACCCACATCCAGCCCTGCCAGAAGGCCGCCAAAGGGCCAGCGCAAGGCTGCGCTTGCTGAGAGGTAGGCGGAGAGGCCCGCAGGAGCTGCCTCGGCTCGGGTGAGAACCCAGGCGCTGCTGCAGCAGACTGGGCCCACATCCCCCAAGTCTCTGTCCACCTGGCAAGTACCTCAATGTACAGGCATTAAAAGGAGCGACAGAAGCACAGCCATTGAACTCGAAGACCCATCATTCAAAAGTGGCTGAACCACCAAAATAAAAACGAGGGCAGGTCAGAAGATCAAACAAAAACAAGAAAACAAAAACCACAGTTTCTAGTTTCCAGTGTTTTTGGACATTCAAGATTGGCATCAACTAGCAGCTACGTGCTGCCGTCCACTGATAAAAACACGAAGCTGTGTTGTTCACATGTGGCAACTGCAACCCAGGAGCGCTATGGAATCGGCCCCAGGACTCCCAGATGTGCGGGAGGCTGGCCCGGGGCTTCCTTACCTGGGAGCGGCTTCGGGGGCGGCAGCTTCGGGTTGCTGCTGGGCGTGTGCACGCTGCACACCTTGATGAAGCCGGCCATCAGCATGATCAGCGCGATCCCCATGAGCAGCACGGCCCACCAGTGTGCCTGCAACGAGCGAGCGGCGTCTCTGAGGGGCATCCAGGCACCGAGCGCACGACGGGCGTGCCAGGGTGACTGCAGGCCACCTGTCGGCCCGAACGTGTGTGCATGGTGGGCACATACATAGTGATTTCTCAAACATAAAAAGGTTTAAAGCAGACCAAGAAACCCACTCACAGTGTCACCTCCCAGAGGTGATCCATCCAGCCCTCCTGCCTGTCTCTTCTACCTATAGCAAGGTCTGTCACATGCTTGCACACGCGTGTGCACAGGGTCTACACTGTGTGGTCCACATTATAAAGTATTTTCTGGGTTCAACTATTTCCTTTGTGTTTTGGTTTTATGCTTACTATTTTGTTTGTATATTCCCTGTGGCTTAGAAGGTATATAACTCGGTTTAAATTCCAGTCATGGACACACTGTGAAAATACTCTTTCATCTGTATTATTCTCTAATTGTCAATTAAAACTGGAATGCCCCTCCCTTTTTTGCCTGGTTTTGGGGACAGAGTCTTGCTATAGCTCAGGCTAACCCTGAACCGACTACTGTATGCAGTTCAAGGGTCACATCTGCACACCACTGTGCCTGGAAGAATCCTGTCTCTTTAGAGGTCCCCTTTCTTCTGATTTTGTCTACTCTGTGAGGGAGGAGGTGACCAGGATGGAGACCAGGCTCGTGTGCCTGCCAGGTAAGCAGGAGCCCCCTGCCACGCGAGCCCGCTGGCCCATCTCTCCTTACCCACATTCCTGGGAGGTGAGCCCAGACTACTGCTAGGAAACCATTCCTACGTGGCTCAACTCATTTTCTCATATATTTTTCTTTTTTCATATTAATTCATTTATAGATTAAATGCCTTTTAATAGAAGAAATGGAAAAATACAAACAATGAAGTTTTTACTCAGTCTAACAAAAAAGCAAAAATTTCACTTAAGCCATATTAAATCAACTGGCCAAAACAAAGCTTTCAAAGATTACTATTAGCATAATCTTATTTATAGGAACACTACTTCCATTCTCAACAAATTCCATTTTGCAACTGCAAGTATTCAAGTCATTTTAAGATTGATTAATAAACATTTGTGACTATATTTTGTAGTAACATTTTAAGATAAATTAATAAACATTTTGTAACTAAAACATTATTTACAGCTTTAAAACTAAATTTTCACATTGGCTTAATATATTGTTAGAACACATAGTTACTGCTAATTATTTCTGGCAAAACTCTCATTGAAAAAAAACAAACTATAATCTCAAGTTTGAAACAATGAGCCTGCTGCCCGTCTGCCTGGTTCGCCCCATGATTCTCCGGCCTGCATGAGTCCCTCCTACCCTTACAAAAGGCGCAGTGCAGCACATCAGTGTCTGAAAGCCAGCAAGACCACGGAGTGAGCTGCACTTTGACTGCACCATGCACAGCAGGTGCCCGGCTCCTGGGCAGCTAGGACACAGACCAACCCAGAAAGGCACCAGTGCTGTCACTCACCCTCAGCACCCCATGCATGCACAGGCTCTGCTCTGTGCCACAGCTGGAGGGTTGCAGAGCCATGGGCCGCCTGGCACACTCCATGTGGAAAGGTGTCCCACCTGCTGCTAGCACTTGAGAAGGCTGCAGGGCAGTGAACAGGTGGGCTTCCCCGCACCTTTGGGCTAGGAGACCGCTGACAATGTGTTCTTCTTACTGATCCTATCAGGCGCCGAGGAGCCTCACTTCACCTCTGATTAAGATGGCATCTGCCCTTCTGCCACAGCAACCACTGAAGAACAGTAGCCATGGTCCGATGCTATTCCATGGCCATGGGCCTCAACAAGCACCACAAGGTGACTAAGAATGTGAGCAAACCGAGGCAGAGGCACAGCCACCATCGTGGACGTCTCACCAAATACACCAAGGTTGTGCAGGACATGATCTGGGAGGTGTACGACTTCGCCCCCTAAGAGTGCTGGGCCATGGAGTTACTCAAGGTCTCCAATGACAAACGTGCCCTCAAGTTCATCAAGAAAGGGTGGGGGCCGGGGAGATGGCTCAGTAGAATAAGGGCTTCCCTGACAAGCACAAGGGCTGGAGTTCAATCTCTGGTTCCGCAAAAAAAAAAAAAAAAAAAGGGTGGGGGCGCACATCCGGCCAAGAGGAAGCAGGAGGAGCTCAACATGTTGGCCACCATGAAGAAGGCAGCTGCCAAGAGGCCTGAGCCCCTCTGGGATAAAGCTTTGCAGGAAAAAAAAGGATGGTATCTGACAAACTTTGCCAGTGACTCCCTTCTTCTGTCGTCAATGAGCATTTTGCAGAGGCATGAACTGAACCCATGTACATATCCTGTTCTTCATTAACCTCCTCAGCCTATCCACATATTTATTGCTACTGTACATAGTGGGCTACAATCCCAGTGTCACCCTGCTCTGCTCCCATCCAAGCCCCAGACCTAGGTTTTCCCTAGGCTGAGCCCTCACTCTGTGCCCCGCCCCACTGTGCAGCCTTCTCCTCAGGCTGCCAGCCTCCCGGCTCTGCTTTCTGATCTGTGGGACCACAGCTGTGTCCCTGAGCCTGGAGCCTCAGCCAGATTGTGCAGAGGTTCGGGGCTCCTATGCATGACTTCTGGAAGACTAGCAGACAGACGGACAGGCTGGCCTCTCTTCTCTCTTCTGCTCCTGGCCACCACAGTGAGAAGGGCTCCCCTCTGCCCAGGCCGCTCAACACGTGGCCAAACATGCAGGACTGCATGGCAACAAACCCTCCCTCCTTCATGCTTGGTGCTGGGGTCTTTCGGCCCACAGGAAGAGAGAGGCACCTGCCTAGCTGGGCCCTGGTAACAAAGCTTTAAGAACTATTTAAGGAGGGAGGAAGGGTGCAAAGGGAAGAGGAGACAGAGGTGCACTTGCCTCACACAGGACAGGGGCGTGCTCATTTCAAAAGCAAACCAACAATTCACACCCCAGTGCGGTTCCTGAGGCCTCGTGCAATCTCAGACTGGCTCCCTGCTCAGGTGAGTCCCTCCTCCTACCTTGATTCTGTACCCCGTGACAAGTGTCCACACTGCCCCCTGCTCTCAGCCACAGCTGCAGGGACTGGTTGTAGTGCACAGGCAGGTAACATGTCCTCACCACCACAAGAGCAGACTCTTCAAGAGAAGCCACAGATCTGAATTTTCATGTGCAATCTACTTTTAATTGCTGGCAAACTCACTGTGTGGCCAGTGTGTGGACGTGTTATCAGGGCTTAACCTGGATTGGATAACAGCAAGCTTACAAACTACTTCGAAAAGCCATTTCTTGTATATCCCACTGAGACTGCCAGACTATGAGTAAAATTTTAATTTCAGAACAAAATAAAATGTTCTTTTGTTTCTCACACAAATAGTATCAGTGCTCTTCTCTCCTTGGTAGTCTTGGATGATATTCCCTCTCCCTTGTTGTATAAAGTTTTACTTTTAGTCCCATCTTACCAAGCAGCAGAGTCCCAGACCCCCCAGCCTGTCGGCATTACACAGAACCATTCTGTGCTGCGCAGTGCAGTGCAGGCAGCAGTGTCCCTGGCCTCCCTTGTAAGTACCTCACTCACCCTCACAACTTCTGCAAGTTCCCCAACATCATCTGGGACAGGAGGCATCATAGGTCACACAGCTGGGTCCCTGAGGGCTGTGAGGTGACCAGGGCCCACCAAGGCACTAGTGTCCTCCCACTCCAGGCTCCAGCCATCCTCGCAATGGCCAGCTCTGCTGCGACTCCTCGGAGCACAGAGCGGATCGTGCACCCCTTCATCAGACCTCGTCCTCTACAGCTTCCACCACAGAGCTCCACAACTCAACATTAAGGAACAGAAGAAACAGAGGCAAAACTTGACTACACAGCGAGGCAGTCAAACACCCATGATGTGACTCACTCCCTCCCTCCCTCGACCCTGTGCCTACTCTTCAGGGTCCACCCTTACGGTGGTAGAGGTTCTGAAGGGTCCACTGGACATTCACCGTGGAAGGCTGGCTCCAGAGCATCAGGAAGACTTATTGCCCAACATGATATATTTCATCAAATAAGAATAATCAAACTTTCTGAAAGAAAACAGCAAACAGAGCTCTCTAGTTTGCAAATTAATGCTCCTTCCTGATTTCTCTGTGGCTCCCTCTTCTCCCCCAGACAGGGCGAGCCTGCTACAAAGCACTCGCCCAGCAGGTGTGAGGTCCTCTGTCCATTCCTGGCAAATCAAAACAACGCAACACAACACAGAGTCCACTGCTCTCCTCCTTTCTGTGAAAACAGCATGCAGCAATGACAATCTGTCGCTGTGCCTGCATTCTCTTTGAAACGGGACTATAAATTCCCAGACCTAAATCCCTCCATCTCAGCCCCAGCACACACACACAAAACAGAACAGAACTGTGAAACCAGTTAATACAGGGGAGTAATTTTCCAAATACTGACCTCAGACTAGCTAATGGCCCATTTATTACTTCTAGTTTGCTTACCCTGGACAAATAATGTGACCCAGAGCTTATAAGAGTATATAAAAACTGCTTCTGATACTGTAACTGCTGGATATTTTCAGCACCTGCACAGCAGAAATAAAGAACAATGCAAGCAGTATGGCACAAGAGAAGAAGACAAGCAGTCAGGACTGAACCATGGCTGAGCCATGTCGACACGATAATCAAAGACTCTGGCTAGCTCCAGGCCCGTGGTGGCCAACCATTGTAATCTTGGGAGGCTAAGGCAGGAGGACCGAAAGTTCAAGGCCAACCTGGGCAATCTAGCAAGACTTTGTTTCAAAATCGCATCATTTTTACAAAGGCTGGGGACGTAGCCCACGGCAGAACGCTTCTCTGCCTAGGATGGACACCGTCTTGGCCTCGATCCCCAGTATCATAGTGGGAGCGAGGGGGAAACCCTGTCCCTGTTCAGATCAACAGATGCTTACTAAAATTTGGCATTTAAGCACTTGAAAACTTTTAGTTCCTCGTAGGATCTGGAACTCCAAATTTTCCCAGGTAATTACTTATGCTAGAAGCCCAAAA